GTATTACTCGTTGAATTATTCCAATTTCCATAGAGAGTATACTTAATAATACGTATGATAAATACGGTGTTGACGTGCAAGTGACATACGAGTGACGTATAACCCAAATGACTCCCCAATGGCGCGAACGGATGCATCACGGCCATCACCGGAAGAATCCCACTTTCCGCCCCAAAACACATTCCTCCGCCGTGAACCCCTGAGGCACTATCCTCTCAGAGCTCGAATCTTTTCCATCATCCGACGACGGCATTGTAGCTGCTCTCATAATCGGTGAAACTTTTTTTTTTTTTTAATAATCCTATATTTTTCTTCAGTGCAATTATGAATGGTTTCCCTCCTGTTTCGTTTAATAATCCTGTCTTGAATTCCACTGTTTTGGTATGCTAGAAAGAATTGCGCTTTTCATATGCCTATGCAAGGAAAAATATCTAACCTTTGGTGGCGATAGTGACAAGAATGCCATTTTTCTGTGGTTGAATTCATTTTGCTGGAGTCTACGTGTTTGTCTTTATGCTTGTGAGAGGTGGCTATGCTGATTCTTGCTGAAGGGCACAATTGGGAACAGACATGGGGCGGACAGCTGACGTGGCAAGAGTGATGAATGATGATAAGGAGGTGGGGCTGGTGGAGTCAGGGAGTTTGAAATAAGGGTTTTGATTTTTAGATGAAAGATTTTTATTTTTTTTGAACTAGAAAGTTCATTGTGAAAATGAGGTTGTTTTGTCATGTTTTGTTGGGGGAGAGATATTTCTAACAAGTGCAAATGGTTTGTGCCATTGTGTGGTTGTGTTTTTATATCTCCTCATCTTCCTTATCTCATACACTGAACTGCAATCACTAAACACTTGACTGCAAAATGGCTGCTGCAGCTGCAACGACTGCATCCATATTGTCTGCAACCCGGTCTGCTTCGACTAGTGCTGAAACTCCCTCTGCATCTAACAGATATAGTATGCTTTTCCAACCTTTTGCTTCTTGGTGTTCTAGACTATAATCGTGAATGGCGTTGCATCAATTATTCCAATTACAACTAGACAATTTCTTATTTATAGCAATTGGATTGGATTTTCTAGCTAATGGAATTGTTCTGCTCTCTATTTTAGCCTAGAAACTAACCTGAATATTTGTAGTTTCAGTTTCCCTTCTCTAGCTTATGTTACTCGACTTGCTTTACTTGTTATGCAGTTTCTATTCTTGTTTTTTTTTATTCTTCAGTCTGCTTTTTCTCTTTCTTCTTGTCTTTTGATTTGTATTGAAGTATCAATCGACCATGGCCTTCGCTGTTACTTTTGGAAGTTGCGATCTTTTTGTTTAAGCTAATATCCTCTCTTGTATAATCAGTAGTAACAGTGATCTTTTTGCGACCATGGCCTCTCTTGCTATGAAACTGATCTTCGTTTCAAGTCAGATTTTGTGACTCGAAGATACTATTATAGAGAAAATTAGTGATGATGTTTCTGGAAATTCACACAGGGAAATCTGACTGTTTCAATGATTTGTTACTTCGTATGAGTGAACTAACGCTAATAACTACTCATCTGGAAAAAAAAAGATCATCTCTAGATTTCGTTTTGCCTGATTAGCACATTCAAATGCAGCTACAAGTTTTAGGGGAAATTCATCGAGAAGATATGATTCGATTAAGAGGAGGTTAATTAAGAGTAATGGACGAATCAATGCTGCTGCTACTGTTGCAACTGCTTCTGTCGAAGAAGTTAAAGAGTAAGTCACACTTGTTTTCATCTTTCCTCTGGCTTCTAACAAACAATATGCATCAAGGGAGGCAACCTTAACTTTAATATTTTATTCTAGGAAGAATTTACAAAATAACCCATTCTGCAGATACGCCCTCCCTACATGGGCTAAATTTGACCTGGGCCGAGCTCCAGTTTACTGGAAAACAATGAATGGTCTTCTTCCCACTTCTGTATGTACACGCCACTCTTTGTTATTATTTCTTTTTGTTTCTTTGAACACTATCTTGAAATTTCCCCTATGTCTTTTAACAGGGAGAGACGTTGCGGCTTTTCTATAATCCATCTGCCAACAAGCTTACCCCCAATGAAGAATTTGGAATTGCCTTCAATGGTACGTAACTTCTTGCAGTTATCATTCCATAGAATATCATGTTTGATCTGAAGATTTCGACCAAAAGGTTTATTGGTAACTTCTTGAGTCATTTCGTGCAGGAGGATTCAATCAGCCTATCATGTGTGGTGGTGAGCCGAGGGTCATGCTTCAGAAAACGCGAGGAAAAGCTGATCCTCCTATATATACAATTCAGATATGTATTCCTAAACACGGTACGCTTCAAATAAACAACCTTATCTGTCCACCGACTGTAGTTTGTTTTTATGGTTAAGCCTTTTATTTGCGTCTTTGCTGATCTGCAGCCCATAGTTTGATCTTTTCATTCACAAATGGAACTGAATGGGATGGTCCCTATAGACTCCAATTTCAAGTTCCAAAGCCTTGGCGAAACAAGCCAATTGAATTCTTTACAGAGGTATCAACATTGTAGTAATAATTTTTTTATTTTTTATTTTTTGAGTGACGAGGGGAACCTGCAACTTAGCCGGCAAAGGACCTCAAGTTAGGTAAATCAGGCTAAGTTGCCCATAGTTGACCACCTCAAACCAAGAAGGCTAATAGGCCGTTTCCACTAAGAGTCGAACTTGGAACCTTAACATTGTAATAAACTTTGTTACTTTGCTATTCTGTTTACTTGCATAGATCAAAGCAAATAATTCTATGGCACAGGCATTATGGTCTCATTTACATGTTAAAAATCGGTATTTTTAAATCAGGGCCTTGCGGAGGAGTTGAGTAAGGAAGGTGCATGTGACAGAGCAATCTTTCCCGACGCAAACACAGTTATCACGACTTGTGCTGTGGTTGGTAACTTGACTATTGAAGGCGTAAGTGGATCGTCACTCTCATTTCCACTAAAACACATTCTTCACAACTTGTAATCTCACCGCTTCTACTTACAAATGGCAATCCCATCCAAATGCAGGGTGATCGTTGCAATCTCAATTTGATGCCCGGATGCACCGACCCAAGCTCACCATTATACGATCCACTCGCGAACGTTGATGATGGATCATGCCCACCCTACTCAGACTCCGAGGATTAGATTCAAACATAAGCATTTCATTCCATATATGATCAGAATTACGCTTTACAGTTCATGCAGTAACCAAACAAAGATGGCTGTAAGTATCTTTGGCACCTGATATCCAGCTTCATACGAGTTTATAATGTACAAAATGTCAAATATGTTTTACTTGAAGAATGCATTAGGCTGTACATCTTTTGCGATGGTAAACACGGATTGTTTATATATACGCAGTATATAAATTGTTATGCAATACAGAGTAGTTGTGAGTTGGTGCAACCAATCAAGGTTGGTCTGACTTGTGCTTGGGGTTTAAGAAATCGCACTATACGTGCTGCTTTCCTATTTGAATGGAAAAAACCATGTTCATAAGAAATGAAATGAAATGATGCCACCCAACATTTCTGTAGAAAATATGTAGTTTGGGTCTTCCTTAAAAGCTGTCTGTTTTTAATTGGTGTGTGTTTTTGACGCTGTTAAAGAGCAGAAACTTGGTATAAGGACAAGCATAGGTTTAGATAATTAGATCACAAGGTTTTAAGTTTAACTCCCAGTGCTAGAGGCTTATTAACCTTCTTAATTATGGATTATTTAGGTTGATTTATTTCATTGTGGTCATTTGCCGATTAAAATTATAAAGTAAATTTTACTTAGTATACACTTTCGAATAATGACTGGGTTTTTCTCCTCACCCAAAATAGGATGTGTCTAGTATTGCATATGGATATTTGTAAAGTTTAGAAATGTCAAAATATGCTGCTGGTGTAGAAACTGTAAATGACCTGCGTCTATCTTTCCACATTCAACCTTGGACTGGCTAGATCTAGAATCTACAATAATTCCACCAACCACGGCAGATGACAGGAATTTACAAATGTAAAATTTGTCACAAGAGATATATTAATGACCGAGTTTCATTAACGATAATGTGGGAACAACCTCTCAAAATAAAAAGTCTTCTTTGTCACAATGAATTTACATATCACTGTGGGCAAGGAATTTACATATTAAAATATAATGAATCTTTCGATTTACCTCTTTACGGGTGTAAGTTGAGTTCACAGAGTTCAGGATTGGTGAAATTGAGAAATCCGTTTCATAATTTTTTTTTAAAAAAAAAAAAAAAAATTCCTCACTTCAAAATTTAAATGCATTGGTGCCTAATTGCAAAATTTCATTTCGGATAAATAATAATAATAATAATAATAATAATAATAATAATAATAATAATAATAATAGAAAATTACACTTTTTACCTTTAAGTTATAGAACAATTATAGAATTTGTCCTTAAATGTTGGTCGTGCTCACTTTTCATCCCTGGTGTTGCACTTTTCATTCTTTTATTAACTTTCTGTACTCACTTTTCGTCTCTAAGTTATACTAAAGTTGTAAATTTCGTCCCTAATGTTTTGTTAGTAAATGAACAAAAAGTGCAACGACAATGATAATTTAAAGAGAAAAAGTGAGTATGATCAACAATTATGGACGAATTCTACAATTATTGTATAACTTAAGGACGAAAAATACAATTTTTCCTAATAATAATAAATTTTTAGGTATATTATTAAATTTATATAGTCTCCATCTCAAAAAATTATTCAATTTTATTGAAGTTGCAAATTTTAAAATTAATAATATTTTATGTACGTGTACTTTCATAATTGATATTTTCAAAAATTAAAATATCAAAATCTAATGAAATTAAAGCTTAAATAAGACAATTAAAATGAAACACACAACATACATGTATACTCCCATTCTATACACAAAATCTAAATCTTTGAGACTTACATTAAAAAAAAAAAAAAAAAAAACTTATCAGAACTGGCCACATGAGTATAAAATTGAAGAAGTAAAGTTTGGTATTACAAATAGTAAAACTTAATTTTTAAATGGATTTGGCATTATCGAGAAATCAAATCCAATTAGAAGTACAAGTTTGTTGGACACGGTGACATGGACCACATGGTCGGAAGGGTGGCCAAGAAAGCAACCACAAACAATTCTCTTTACATCTGTAAACAACTTGAGTCCTATAAGAAATAGCTTGTTATTCAGTATTTGGGAATGCTGCCATTAATTAGTTCAACTTTTTACATTCTAAATACTTTCCGGCCAGAGAATCAAACAGCATTCCGGCACCAACCCCAACGCCCAAGTCGATTGTGTAGTGACCCCTTGTGCTCAGCAACCTCACCACCTGCAACACGTTGAGCAAGTCGAACACCAAAGCCATCCCTCGCCTCTGCATTCGTCTCATGTCAAGCGACGCGATCACTGCTGCCGCTACATGCCCCGAGTAGAACAAGAAAAACGACACATTCCCTACCGGAAAATCAGCTCCCGAACCCAAAAAATCCTGCAATCACAACCACCAAGCCAAGCCGTTTACTGCCCACAAAACTTCAAACTTAATACTCCACCGTTTCTGAATTCTGCAAGCTATGTCTTAATCAACATATATATGGGGTCTCATCTTTTCTTCACCTTTAATTACTTAAAGTGACATATACCCATATTTCTAGTTGTCATCATAACATGACACCAGAAAGACATGATTTCACAAACTATAACAATGTATTTAACCACCACAAACATTAATTAATTTAAGAAATGGAAATGTGAATTACTGTCAAAAACAAGACAGTTGTATAAAATGGCTCTGTTCACACTTGAGCAATGGTCCCCCTACAAGTTGGAGATCATTATATTGTATTATTAATAAATTTTATTTCTTGGAGTGACCAAAAAAAAAAAGAAAAAAAAAAAACTCAAAGCATTCAAAACTCCTCATGTTAATCCATAAACATCATATCAAGATCCGACAAACAGTTGTGGCATGCATCAATTGACATGTCCTATTGTGTATTCTTTCACATGTGTGGCAGTGAAGAACAAACCTAAGACTGAAGAAAAGTGAAAAAGTTGTATTGTCTGTCCTGTTTACAAAGGTTTAGACGTTTAGTAAAGTAGAGGTAATCTCAACCAAGTTGGCTAAAGATACCAATCACAAAATCACGAGTTCAAATTCCAGTCTTTTTTGTTTAAATCGGTAAGTTATGAACAACCTAGGCTGATTTAACTCCTTGTGGTCTTTCACCTACTAGGATCACAAGGGCAAAATTTACCCACTAGACCCTTTCAGGTAGTTACCGCGAGTTTCCATCATCACCTCAAAGGTTTAGTATAGATAATCCCAGCCAATTTAGCTAAAGATACAAATCACAAAGTCACGAATTCAAATTTTAGTCTTTTTTGTTTGAGTTAGTAAGCTATAAACAACCTATGTTGGTTTATCTCCCATTGGGATCACAAGAAGAAATTTACTTAAAGGTAATGACTGAGGATTTCCATTGTTCATCTCAAAGGTTTAGTACAGTCTAAAGAATCACATTTCAAGATTAATATTTTTTTATAAAATAAAAAGATTAGATGAGAAAAGGAAGAACCTGAGGCAACGGCAGTTGTGTAACATATCCAAGAATTCCTCTGCATGTGAACATGAACAGTGCCGAAATGGTTGCTCTTGGACGGCCTTCAATCAGCCACGCCCATACTATGTACGCTGATTGCATCGCCACAAACACCTGTACACCACAAACATCCTTAACCTTATCAACCCATACCCCGAAGTACAATTTCTTCTTAACTATATTCTTCCATTAATATACATACAGATCGAATGTAGATCTAATAAAGTTTTGCGGTTAATTGAGTACCGTATTGAGGCCGGCGAGAAGAGTATTAAGGGCGGGTCTGGAAGCGAGAACGCGATTGAGAGGAACGGTGGCGATGAAGCCCAGATCGAACGGCGGGGAAGTGGAGGGGATCATGCGGAGGGTGTATTCAACACCCATGAAGAACAAGAGGGAGGCGAAGAAGACGCACGGTAAAGGGTGGTGCCTCACCACACCCAATAAATCCCCCGCTTTCCACGTCATGAAATGAGCGTTTCCCAACCAGTACCACCCACCGTCATTCGCGGCTAACGGAGAGGATCTCTTCTTCATATTCATATTCGAAACGGTGCCGTTGGTGGTGTGAGAGTGTTTGGAGTTTTGCTTGTTGCTGGAAGTGGTAGGTTTAGGTTGTCGATTAGCGAGGGGAGAAGATGAACGGAAATGGGGAGCGCCTCCGTTCATTTTGGCCGGAGACGGAGACGGACATGGTGGACGTGCGATGGCTACGAATGGTTTTTATAAGGGAATCGAATGACGGAGTCTCCGAGGTTGCTTTGGTGAAATTTTGTACAGATCTCAGTACATTGACGAAGAGAGAGAGAGAGAGAGAGAGAGAGAGAGAGAGACAAAGACAGAGGAAAATTGTGGGCAATTTAATGCGAGGTAAATAGTGGGCAGGACCGCAGGAGAGGAGTGTCATTGGAATTTTCCAATTTAAGACAAAAGGAATCTCCCCAAACACGACATTTATATATAAATTCTTTGTCAGAGTAACCTTAGAGGGTGTTTGGTTTTAATGAATTTCAATTCAACTTTTTTTTTTTTTTTTTTTAAAACAATTTCAATTCAACTTAAATTCTAATGGGTGTTGCTATTTGCACCACCCTTTGACCAAAAGTGAGTATAAAGTATCTTGAAATTGTAAAAACGTGAAAACTTTTAATAATTACATAGGTGGTGTAAATAACCAAATGAGGGTTCATTTTGCTATTTGCATCACCTTGGTCAAACCTCATTTATGAGGTGTAATTAATAATATTTTAATTCAAAATCTAATTAATTAAAATATTAAATTGAAAAAAAAAAAAGATGAACCGTCACTGTTTTGCTTTTGTTTTTGGTTTTTTGTTTTTTGTTTTTTTTTTTTGTTTTTTATTTTTTGTTGTTTGTTTTAATGCCTAACTATTTATGTAATATGTTTTTTAAGTTTTTATTTTCAATAAATATTTTTTTTTTAAGTTTCTATTTTCAATAATTTTTTTTTTGTTGAATATATATATATTTTGTTCAATACATTTTTTTTTAAGTTACTAATTTCAATACATTTTTTAAAGTTTATAATTTCAATACATATTTTTAAGTTTATAATTTTAATACATATTTTTTTAAACAATTAGTCAATATTGATGTTTGTGAGATGAAATTACTGATTATTTGGGCAGCAGAGAATACAAATTGGACTCATATGACTCGATCTATATATATATATGTGGGGTGTGTGTGTTATGTATATGTATCAGTGTATCACACAATCTATAAGCCATGGATAATTGGATAGAAGATTTTTTAGTTGCAATAATCATAATCAAAGCCAGTTACTTAGTTACAATGATCAAAATCAAAGTCAAGGACATTATGATGTATTTTAAGTTGTTATTTGAATTGTTATTTATTTCTATGGGTGTTGCTATTTGTATTTTAAGCTAGTTTGTTCTTGCTTGCTAGGTAATTAGTACTCATTTAAATTAGATATAATTTCTCAATTAACTAAATAACAATCTCTTTGTTCCATGTCAAGAGAGAAAATTATAGTATTAATCAATTTAGTGAATATAGTTGTAAGTTAATTTAATTTGTTGTGAATATAGTTGTAAATTAAGCAATTTATTGTATTTACAGTATAAAAAGATAGGTAGAATTGAATTGTTATTTATTTCTATGGGTGTTGCTATTTGTATTTTAAGCCACTTTTTTCTTGCTTGCTAGTATAGGTAATTAGGACTCATTTAAATTAGATATAATTTCTCAATTGACTAAATAACAATCTCTTTGTTCCATTTCAAGAGAGAAAATTATAGTATAAAGATTACTGAATTTGAGATTTTATTTATTGGGTGACCGGTGATCTGAGTCTATCTATATACTGAATTAATTTAATTTGTTGTGAATATAGTTGTAAATTAATCAATTTATTGTATTTACAGTATAAAAAGATAAGTAAAAAATCTATTTATTGAGTAATATTGAGTACATAGAGCAATATATACTACAAAGAATACACAACTGTAGGAAACTATTGTACAGAGACTGAAGGACAATCATAAATACAAAATTCAAAATAGAAAGAGTGTAGGAACGCATGTAGTAGACTTATTTTATGATTAGAAACCTTGACCTCCACTTATTTTATGATTAGAAATTTAACTACATCAAAATTGTTAGAACTCTAACCCACATATCTTTATAAAATTGTTACAGTATTTACCGTATAAAAAGATAAGTAGAAAATCAATTTATATTTCAAAGTCTCAATAGAACTCTAACCCACATATCTTTATAGAATTTTAACTACATCAAAATTGTTAGAACTCTAACCCGCATATATCTTTATAAAATTGTTACAATATTTACAGTATAAAAAGATAGGTAGAAAATCAATTTATATTTATTCATTTCAAATATCACTAGTAATCATTTTATATTTCAATTTATAGTTAAATCAATTTAAAATAATGTATACAACAAATTTGAGTTATAAAAAATATTAGAATTACAAAATTAATTATTATTTCTCTTTATTTAAAATTAAAACATAAACAAAAATAAGTATTGAAAATATAAATTTTTTTTTTGAATGTTGAAAATATAAACTTAAAAAAATATGTATTGAACAAAAAAAGATGTATTGAAAATAGAAACTTAAAAAAAAATATGTATTGAAAATAAAAACTTAAAAAAATATTGCACAAAATAATTAGGCATTAAAACATAATAATAATAATAATAATAATAATAATAATAATAATAATAATAATAATAATAATAATAATAATAATAATAATAAAAAGAGATTGATTATTAAATTTAAAAAAAAAAGATTAATGTTTGACTACATTTAATGAGGTGGTGCAAATAGCACTTTTTTGTTTGCACCACCTATAAAGTTATTATACCTATTAAATAGGGGGTGTAAATAGCAAAATGGGTGGTGCAAATAGAATTTCCCATTCTAATTCAGCAGAACTAGAAATTACAGTGTGTAGTTATAGGGAATCGTAATTCATGTATTTCCTAGAAATTGAAATTGCAAAAGTGATATTTGTAGTATTGGGATTTGAGAGTATATAAATGTCAATGAGGGTAGGATTCAAATGATAGTAAAAAATAGAGTTTATTATCGGAATGGTCCCTCAATTATTGCGAAATTATCAATTTGGTCCTTAATAATTTTTTCTTTTTCAATTAAGTCCTCCGACTTTGAAAAAGTTAAACATTTTGGTCCTCTGTTAGGTCAAGAGTTAAAAGTCTGTTAAATTAAAGGGCATTGATAGAATTCCACATTTAAAAGTCTGTTGTTATGTTCCCTCTTCCTGCTCAAGGCCATCTCAACCAGCTTCTTCAGTTCTGCTGCTTATTCTCCTCCCATGGACTCCCTGTTCACTACATCGGATCTGCCATCCACAACCAACAAAATAGCCAAAATCCATTTCCATGATCTCCAAACTCCTGATTTCGATTGCCGATCCCCAACCCCAACGCCTCCTTCAAGTTCCCCACTCATTTGCAGCCAACCTGGGACGCATCGCAGCTTCTTCTCCGCCACCTCACAACGCGTCTTCTCCGGGAATTGGCGTCTAAAGCTAGAAGAATTGTGGTTATTCATGACTATCTGATGTCTTACGTTGTTCAGGATATGCGCGTCAATCCCCAAAGCCGAGCCCTATAACTTCAATTGCGTGTCGATTTTGTCTATGGTTTCTTACATGTATAGAGGATTAGGAAAGAAGCTTTTCGCAGATGGAGAGTTGCAAGAGCTAATGCCACCTCCTGATGGGTGCACAACAGATGAAATCATGAGGCTTGGGATTTCTCAGATGGAGGCTTTGAGTGTGAGAAGTGGAGATATTCAATAGGGTTTCATCGATGATGGTTGCGGCGGCGATCCGGAGGTCCATAATTTGCTATTTTAAATATTTGCTGTTGTGCAAGGAAAACCGTACTAGTTTGTCAAGTGATTGAGGAATTATGTTTGAAAGGTCAATGGTATTAGAACCCTTTGTTTTGTTTTGCTTTTCTTTTCTTTTAAAACCAAAGTTGAGAAGTTCCAGAACACCATTGGATTGACTTCCATTCCCAAGTCCGCCTTGTCTGTGTATTCTTGCCTCCCTCAATTTATTGAAACTAAGGAACTGTTTTTGAATTAATTTTCTCAGCTTGGGAAAGGGAAGGCTGTTCGAACAAGGATGGTGGGGATTTAAATTTATGTTTGAATTTTTTTGCTATGATGCCATACAAACCGACTGCAACTGCTATACAATTTTATTTTCAGAGTCCAAAGTTATTTATGTCCTATTCGTTAGTTAAATTCAAGTTTTGAGCTAAACTGTTTGCTTAAATCAACTGGTTTTTCTGCTTCCTATGTTGCAGGTACCGTGCCATTACTAGTGCTTTACTACAGAGGAGCATTGGCGGAGTCGGAAGCTCTCTACTTCATGGAAACGTCTGCATTGGAAGCCACGAATGTGGAAAACGCCATTGAAATGGGTCTTCTACTCTTTTCAGATTAAAATGGGTCTTTCTCATATTAAAATGGTTTAATCAATTAAGAAATGGGTCTTCTCATGTTAAATTCCATAATGTCTTATAATTTAACAGATTTTTAACCCCTGACCTAACGGAGGGCCAAAATGATTAACTTTTTCAAAGTCGAAGGACTTAATTGGGGAAGAAAAATTGTTGAGGACCAAATTAGTAATTTTGCAATAGTCGAGGGACCATTTCAATAATAAACTCTAAAAAAATATGTTGATACTATTAGGACTCTATGTATTTGAGTTAGTTTATAACTCCCTATTCTAGTCTCGATTCTCCTTATATATATATATATATATATATATATATATATATATATATATATATATATATATATATATATATATATATATATATATTTTGAAAGCCAAGGAAATCAGATTGCATTAAACTGTAGACGAAACAAAGGAAGGGAGATAGTCCCTCCAGACCGAACGAGAGCCAGTCGCACTAATATGCTTAGCTAAGGCATGAGCTACCGAATTGGCATCTCTGCGTACAAATTTAATGGAGCAAGATTGAAAAGAACGAAACAACTGTAAACATGAATCCAAAATAACGCCTAGATACGAACGATAAGTAGTCGCATCGCGGAAGCAAGAAACTAGAACCGCACAGTCTGAGAAAACCGCAACATTCTGGAAGTTGTGGTCATGTAGCCATGATAGAGCCTCACGTATCGCCATTGCTTCAGTTAGGAGGGGATCATTCGGGCATATAAGTGGTCCGTTAGCAGCTGCTTCAAAACCTCCCTGCGTGTTGCATACATAAAGATCGTACGTCGGAGAAGCGCCGTGGAAACCAGCA